TGTAAGCGTTCAAGCAAACCACTTCTGAAGATGCAAGCCACTCGTGCTTGCGAAACGTCAGGAAGAAATTCTACCGAACGACGACCTAAAAACCCATTAGTTTCAAGAAATAGCCTCGAAAGTCTATCTCTTTTGGTATCGATCGGGTTTCTTCACTCTAAAACTTGCACAGCTCTTTATTATCTATGTCCTCACATGCAGCAAAGTGCGGGAACTGGAAGAGGAGTTCACGAAGCGCATGAAGATGCAGCGGAAGATGTTCAAGACGATCACAGCCAAAACCATCACCTACCCCAATCTGGTGGAGAACCTGAAGAAAAGCCGCCCACTGGTGGAGGAGCGCCAGCCCCCGCAGCCTGAGCGGCCGACCATCAAGGTGGTCCAGCCCCCCCAGCAACAGACGAGGGACGGGAGCGACGCCTCCATCAAGAGCCACCCGATCATCGGAGCGGCCAGCAAGGAGGCCAAGATGAAGCTGAAGTCCAAGTTCGTGCAGCTGCTGCTAAGGTCGACGCGCAGCTGCACCCAGCCACAGGAGACGTCCATGCAAGAAAGCGACGAACCAGCGCAGTTACCAGACGACACTGAAGCCGGCGGGGTTTTGGACGACTTCTCGATCAAAGACCCCAAGAGGGTGTGGATGGACCACATCAGCACCAGCCCCCTGAGCTTGGAGGACGTTTGCCTCAGAGAAGGTTCCTAGAGTGGACCTTGTCTTCCCTTCACTCAGCTAGTGTTTTAATCATCAGGAAAATCTTCCGGCACAGAGCTGGTGGGAAATCCCAACGCCAGCCAGATGGAGGAAGAGGCCACCGAAGGGCCTCGCCACGAGCTGAAGACGAAGCAAACCGCTACAGACCTTACAAAGGGCGACACAAGTCTGGGGAACTTGACCAGGGGCGACTTAAGGCCGAAGATGACCAGGAACAGAGCTCGACCAGCGGTGGGCAAAAGGGCGCCGGAGGCCGCCAGAGCTTCGCTCTATCACACCGAGCGCAAAGGTGATTTGTGATTGATGCAGTTGATGCATGCCTGATTGCAACTGTGCACGCGGTTTTCCAGCAGGAACCTCCAGGGGCGAAGACCCTAAACCCACTGGAGCCAGCGACGTGCTGGAACAAGAGCACCCGGCCCCGAAGGCTGACAATCTCCTGGGGGCGGAGCCTGAAATGCCCCCAAACGTCGCCCCAAAGCCCCAAAGCGACGATGTCCAGAACATCAAACCATCCACAGGTAAGAGCGCAACTTCCTAAAGTTTTTAAAAACGTGCGCAACTCCTCCCACAGACCCAAATGCGGTGGAGACCAGGTACGAGGACTTGTACCTGCTGGTGCGCGCGCAAAAGTGCCTGGACCCGCCCACTGAGGTGGAGGAGCTGAACGAGCACGCGCGCGACAAGGACGCCGCATGCACCAAGCAGCGCCAGAAAGAGGCGGAACACCATCGCGTCGAAGACCTGAAGAACCAGGCGCAGTCGCTGCCCTCCCTTAAAACCCCCAATGTGGTACCGCGCATCGACAAAATCAACGACCGCCTGCAGGAACGATCCCAATTAGGTTCTCCTACTTTCGCCAATCGACTGCACCCTTCAACCATTCATCCTGAACTTTTGCAGCCGAGAATGCCAAAAACGCGATCCAAAGCCTCACCAGCGTCCCCCGGCCAGCGGTGGAACCCCCGAAGAAACGCCTGCTGCTGTTCAAGAGGGCGCCGGAGCGCAAATCGCGCCTGGACAGTCAGTCCAAGTGCGACAAACTCAATCAGGCGGCCAGGGAATGGGCGCAAAAGCACCGGAAGCGCCCGGCGCCCCATTCGTACACTCTGGAACAATCCAGCGCCAAGGCGCCCAAGCCGGAGAAGCTGAAAACCCGGGAAAGCGACCTCAAGGAGGGCCAGTTCCAGAAGACCCAGCAGGAATTGGAGGAGTTCTACCGGAAAAAGAGCCAGGAGTGGAACCAAATGCCCGGGGAAAAGAGCGAATGGGCTGCTTTGAGAGCCAAACGTTAGCCAACTACGAAGACTTTGTAGTCGCAATCACTCAGTTAATTCTTTGCAGGGATCCTAAAGGGCCCCATCGAGGTGATCGAAGTGCTGGCGCCCACCACTTTCATCAAAGAGGAGAATGTCATCCTGTTTGCCCCGAGCTATCGAGGCAAACTGGCCAAGGAGGAGCAAAAGCCCGAGCTGAAGCCCGACAAATCGGAAACGGAGGACACTAAGGAAGACACCGAGAAGGAGCAGTTCCCCAAACACGGCGCCGCCAATGAAGGCGGGACAGAAGGGCAAGGAATAGAATCTTCAGCTGCTTCGGACGGCAGCAACTTGAAGCCCCAGGAAGGCCAGAAAAACGAGTCTGAGGCGAATCCCCAAACCTCCACGCAGGAAATCAGCTACCAGACAGCGGACGTGTCCAAGGACTACCAGGAGCACATTTTGAAGCAGTTTTTCAACGCGAAACTGCTGTCAGGCGGCCAGCAGAGCGTCTACATGCCGAAAGAGCGCCTCATCATCAACAACATCAAAGAGCAGGAAGACGATTGCAAATCTGGTGAGTATCCAGGGGCGTTGTTGGGAGTCTTTCGGGGAAAACTGAGTGTTCCAGATGGGGCTGTGCTGAGGCCAGGGGATGAAATAGTGTTTGTCGGCAACAGCGGCCCATCAGCCAATGAGCTGAGCGCGATCCTCCCCAACCGGCTGGAAAAAGCCCTGGTGACTTCCGAGTCTTTGGGCTGCCAGTTGGCCGTCGCTGAGAGCCGAGCGCTGATGGACACCCGAACCCAAATCGACGACATGATGAAGAAGATCAGCCAGCTGGAGATCATGGTCCAGCAACAGCAACAGTCCCTAGCCAAAGAAGACCAGCTGGCCAACAAGATCAGGGCGCCTCCCCCCAAGCGCCCCGAAGGTACGGGAGACCGCACAAAGGCCCAGGCGCCTTCAGCCCTCAATGTTGCAGACAAAGACAAGAAGCAGGAGCGGCCCAAAGGGCCCCATGACGTGGTGTTGCCCCCTAAGGGCGGGAGCTGGAAGCCGGAGGACGGTCCCGCAAGGCAAAAAAGTGAGTGCTGTGAGTGCCGCAGGCGAAGTTGAGGTTCACTGTTGATGCTTTAGGTCAAGACAATTGTGGGCGGCCAAGTGAGTTGAGTGCAGTCGTTGCACGCCCCAAACGCTGCAAGGAGCTGGAAGAACCCGCTGAAAAGCGTGGCCAAACAGAGGCAACGGTTCTGCTCGATTCCGCTCAAAAACCTGCGAAAAAGATCATCAAAACCCCCAAGTCCCAAAGTCTGGCCAAAGCGGAGGAGCAGCAAGCAGCAGGAAAGCCCAAACTGGAGGCTAACAAAAGCACCTACGAAGGCCTGCAGCTCAACAGCCTAAGCGCCGGTAAGTTCGGGGCCTGCTCAAGGGAAACGTGGCCCGTATTGATGGATTTAGGGCGGAAAACAGGGACGCGAAGGCCGGCCAGCTGCTCGCCGGTGGGCCCCCGAGTGAAGAAAAGCGATCAGCCAGCCTCAAAGGCCGGCAAAAGTCATTTGGAGACGGGCAGGACCAAGTTCTCCAGCTGGTCAACCTGCAAGTTCCACCCGCCGGCCAAAAACGCCCCCGAAGGTACCCAATTTGTTAACCTTTCACGGTAATACTTTACATACAATCTGGTACTGCGATTGCCGATTAAGACTATGCTCACCTTATAGTAAATCTCGACATACAACATTTTTCCTATACATTTTTCGACCTAGTGCCGTTTTCCAGGACTTTTCACCCTCTGAAATTCGCCAATTTTCCAAACAAAACAACGGTCGCCATGATGGTTCAGCTCTTTGCGCTGACGTGCCACTCGAAATTTTTCGCGTGGTTGCCAGTACTATATTAGCACTTTCTTAACATCACCACTTTCTTAACCTTTTCATGTACATAAATCATTTAATATAGAATTGATAATAATTAGTAATACCCAGATGATAGATTTTCACTACTTTTCCGATTCTCATCATCATTCCAATTAACCGATTAAGATCTGACACGCGTTCTAGACATCCATAGTGGAACCGAGGCTGGAAATACTTTATTGGCAACATGGCTGACCAGTATGCCATTTCCGGCTGCGCGTATCGTGCGTACGGGCATGTGCCCGTGCCACAGCAGACTGGATCGTAAAGTATTACCTTAAATAACCTCTATAACCTAGCTTGACTGTCACGTCTTACGTCAACTATGAATCAATTTGAATTGTTTCCTTACGTTTTGCGTATTACCTCTTACGGTTTGCGTTTTGCGTTACGGCGACTATAAATCCAGCTTTATTGCAGGCCCGCATCAAGGCGAACCCAAGTCGATTAAACGCGCTGCCTCCGATGCGGCCGCAGGCAGCAAAGCCTCCAGACCAGCCCCTAAGGAATCGTCCAAAACCTACCTGGGGCCGGACTACGCCATTTCCAAAATAGTGAAACGGCTGCCCTTGAAAACCGTCAAAGGGGCCGAGTTGGAGGGGAAATTGCCCGGAAATCCTCCCTTTCAAGCACCAAGCAAACCAGTGCCGAAGGTTTTAAAGGCCCCAGTGAAGAAGCCCAGGTCTGTGGTAGAGCTCTACACGCAACGAATCCAGGAAAGAACCAAACGAAAACCCCATGAAGACAACCACAACGAAGCTCTGGAGCTGTCTGAAGACTCGAAGAAGGCAGAAGACGTCGCCGATTTTCGGCAGGATCCGTGTGGATGCGTGGCGGACAGCAACTTGAAGCAGGCTGAGCCGATCGGGACTTTAACAGTGATTTTACCGCAGAAATCCTGCAGTCGCTCCCCTCAAGGGCGCACACTTAACGCCACCGGCTACAAGAGCGAAAGAACATTCTCCAGTGGCAAAAGCACCATAAGAAAAGCCCGTGAGTCGACTGCTGCTGCAGCCGGCGCTGGTTTCATCAAGCTTGGTTTCTTGCAGCGATTTCCACCAGTTCAGGCCCCAAATTCAGCGATGCCACCAAAAAACCGCCCAAGAAGGAGAAGACTGCGCTTTTTCGCATCCAGAGCGACGGCGAAGTGTTCATCGTAAAAAAAGCCGATGACTCCTCCTCCGGAAAACCCGCAAACGCGCCCCCAACTTACGACTATATGGACCGCGTGAAGAACCAGGTAGAAGTTCACGAGGCCGCAGATGAAGACCAATCAGGTAAGCGCGGGTGATTGATCTGCGACTCACCGTACAAGTCGGGGTTTGCAGGGCCGCGCCTCAAGGCGGAAATTCGAACAATTTACAACAAAGACCAATCGCGAACGATCAGCGAAAGCTCCAAACACCCAGCTCGAAGACCGGAAAATCGAGCGCAGGCTTGGAGGCCGCTGTTTGGCGATCTGAGCGCGCCCGATTTCCAGCAGATTAGGGACGAGTTCTTCCAGCGTAAGCCCAACAAATTTCACGTTTCTCCCGAAACACGAGCTTAATCCCGTTTCAGACCCGCCCAAGGAGAAGTTCATCAAACCCCAGTCGATCTCCACCGATGGCTTGGTTAAAAAGCCCGTGAATCCACCGGAAAGTCAGCCCTCAACCCCAGAAAAACCCAGTGGCGGATGCGATTCCATGCTCCTGAACAAGCGATACTCGCAAATGCTGCGGAACATTGAAAAGCGGCTGGCAGAGAAGAGGAAAAATGCAACAAAGCCCAAATCGGCTGAAAGGCCGGAGGCCGCGCCCCCAACGGATGGTCTCTACACCCTGAAAGCTCCCCAGCAAAAAATCCCGCTGACCGAAAGGATCAGGGATACCCTCTATCAACTGCGCCAGCCCCTCAGGGCCCACAGCTTTGACAGTGCGGAAGCCACCCTGGCCCAGAAGAAGAGGATTCTTTACGAGTCAATTCTCAAAGTGAAAACGTCCACGCCAAAGCTCATTGCCGACGACCGCCTGAACCGGGAGGTGGAGACCTGGAGTCGTTCGCTGCGGGAAAACGTGGAGAACCGCAAGTCCCTCACAGGTGGGGGTTTGGAGGCAGCCGGGCCCCAAAGCCGCGCTCCGCCCCCGAAGCCAGCCCCAAAAAGCCGCTCGAGTTGCTCCAGTTTCACCCAAGTGAAGAAGCTGATCTCTGAGGACAATCTGGCTGGCGAAGTGGAGGCTTGGGGGCTGTCGCTGCTGCACAGCATGGAGAAGCAGAAACCGGCCAGCCCCATCTCCGTGCAACAGCCCCGGCCTCCGGACAGTCAGGCGAATGAGCGCTTCTGCAAGCCCGACACCAAAGTGCAGTTTAAGGCGGCGCGCGAACAGCCAAAGCGAGAGCCCGGCAAATACCCCCTGCCCCATGAGGAGAGATTCATGTGTGTGGAGAAGAGCATGAGGAACAAGCTGACGAAGGAAGCGCAGCGCACCAAACCAGGTAAGCGATTGGCTGAATGGGCACAGAGCCTCACCGATTGGACAGTTGCAGTGGCGGCAGCCAGGCCGAAGAGGGCGGACAGTCCGAAACCAGTCAACCAAGTGGACATCAACCAGCTCCGGAAGACTTTCACAGTGGCGAGTCGCACGGAAATGGAAAAGCGCCGCAAAAAACTGGAGCTGCAGGAAGCGGTGTTCAACGGCAAGAAGGAGCTGAACGCGCAGCAGCAAGAGCAGCGCTCCAAGAAGGACAAAGTGGGGCAAATGAACAGCGCAGCCCTGGACCTTTTGCGGAAGAAAAGCGTCCAAGACGAGCAGGAGATGAGCAGAGGAACCCGGCGGCAAAACATGTATGGGAACGGAGCCAAAGCTGTGAAGCCCAGTGTGGGAAACGGGCCATGGGGCCACAAAATTCGCCGTATGTATTTGCAACTAACCCAGACACCAGGGGAATGCTTAGGTTGATCCGTAGCCAGCTCAGTAGATAAGAAGAGGTTCCACAGCGGAACCAACATAAACGGCACCTCAAACAAAGAGGTTCTGATGTCCAGAGCGGAGTTTCTGCGCCTGAGAAAGGCCGCCTCCGAGCGCAAGGTTCTCGAGCCACCAAACCACACGGTAGAGGCGAAAAAGGAGGCCATTCCAGGGGAAATGTCGCAAGCAAAGGTGACAACCGAAGACGAAAAACAAGAGGAACACGCTCAGCAAGCAGCTGATCTGGATCAGAACGCTAAGGCAGAACTGCTCAACGGTGCATCGGACTTGAAAACGCAGGCCAAAAATCAGTTCGAGTTGTTGTTCCCCGCAGTGGAGCCCAAGGCGGGAGTGGAAAACCTGGGGGCGGAAATCGAGAAGTTTTTCGACGCCAGACCTAGCGGCGCTCCAGTTTCCAGCCAGCAGGGCCGAAAGAGTGAGTTGGGCGCCGCTTCAGAGACTCAGAGGGGTGCTCCTGGCCCGCAATTGACCACTGATGGCTTGCACTATAAAATCGCGCAAATGGCCAAAGCGATAGTGGACGATTTGAGGGTGCAGGACAGCCTGAAGAGTCTTACTGGTAAGGAGACTTATCGCTTGTTTAATTAAGCTTGGCTTTATCGTCGTCTAGACCCCGCCGAACTGGAGGTCACTGCAAAGAGCCACGACCAGGGGGCCGAAGGGATCGCCTCGCACGAGGTGGGACTTCTAGACACTCCATAGTCCACAGAGGAGAGGGTTGACTAACTGACTGCATTTCAGGTCGTAGGGGAGTTTTCAAAGTGCGACAACAAATGCGGGGCCATCATTAAATGCGTAGTTCACCGGGAAGAAACCCCTAACGCAGCCGGTGAGTTTCTGCTCCAGTGTGCCTCACTCAACTACAACTTTGTCGGGTTTAGATTCACCTGATACCAGGGAAGAGGACGCTGTAAAATCGGCAGTGGACAAAATGGTGGAGTTGAAACGCAAAAACAAAGCCAGCAGGCGACTGAAGTCCACCAGCTTACAGAACATGGTCCTGCAGCCCGAGGCCGACTCAGGTAAGGAAACCGCTAAGGGCCGCAATAGCGAACTGAGAAGACCTAGCCGTTGACTGTACCCCTAGATAAAGAAGAGCCTGCAATAGTTAAAGGGGCAAATTTTATTTTCAAGCAGCCGAAGCCCCGGGAAAGCCCTAAATCGCCCTGCCAGCAGCTGGTTTTGCCCATGAAAAAGCCCACATTTCAGGGCGGGGGCCTATCGGAACACCAGTCCACTCTGGATCAGCCTCTGGGCGATGCCATCAGGTCAGTTCCCAAGGAAACGAAGACTCAGAAGCCAGCTGATGCTCTAAGGCGGGCTAGGGCGGATCCATTGGCTAGATATCGGCACCTCCGGATCACCTACGTCACGATAAAAAGACCCAACCGGGAAGCGGATAAGGAGACTTTCCTGCCGGCTGCCACTGCAAGCCCCACAGACGACAAAGACGAGGGGGAACGGAACAGGATTTTGAACTACCGGTAGGTAAATTGCTGATGTTTTCCGAACGCAAAGTCAACGTTTGAACCCGTCGGGGCAGGTTCCAACTGCTCAAGCGCCTAAACGAGGACTTTCACAAACAACAGCAAGACCGGCTGCTTCCTCCCGTAAGCTCCCAGGAAACCACTGTGGGGGGTGACAGTGCTTGGGACGTCAAGTCGTATTTGGAGGAAGAAATGAAAGCAACCAGGACAATATTCAAGGAAACAACGTCCCGAAGTGCCAGCACCAGCAAAACTCTTGACAAAAAGGCGGGCGTTCTGCCGCCTAAGAACAGCGACGACAAGAAGCCGGGAGGGCGACGAAGCTTTTCAACGGATTCACAGAAAGGACCAGGTACAGCTGAATGATCCACCGCCGCTCGTTAAACCGCATGTTTTCCCCAAGATGAAACGGGGATCGAAATCTGCCAGTCCCAACTAACCCTGCCGGAAACGGATGCGGAACCACCCGAAAGCTGTGCGCAAGGATTCGATGTCCTTGAGGCTGTGCCCGAAGCCTTTGAGTGCCCCAGCCCGCAATTGGAGGAACATCGGCAACAAAACCTCTACTATCGGTGAGCTGATTAAGGCTTTTTCTTAAAAGGTCTCATAACAAAAACTCTAGATATCACAAATGGAGCTTCACGGACTTGCACAACTATCTACAGCAGCATCGCGTCGATGCGACGACTCAAAGTGGAAAGCAGTGACTTAATGGCGTGTATTAATTGTTCTCTGTACAAGTAAACTTAAATCAACTGCCGCTTTGTGTCTGCGATCGTAACAGCAATAAATCTTTATCAAAATTTAACAAAACACACGTAAATCTAATGGGTTTTTGGGGATTTTAGCCTGTTCTGCGGAAGAACTGAACGCGGGTTCTGATGAGAACAGTGTAAGCGTTCAAGCAAACCACTTCTGAAGATGCAAGCCACTCGTGCTTGCGAAACGTCAAGAA